CCAGAGCCGGACTGAGTGGCTCCTGAGCTGCCGTGGGCCCCAGTCCTTCCCTCCATGACAGCGGCACCTCCCAGGGCTGCCTGCCCCAGCTCGGAGGCAGCATGAGGCCTGATCCAACTCTCTCCCGAGCCTGCCTGCTGGAAGCCTGCTGGGGAAGCCTAGATGTAGTTTAGTTTGCAATGCTGCAAAGTCATTTAAAACTCCCCAAACTGGAGCACGTGTCATGCGCGATGCCACTAAGCCACAAAAATTACATTTCTGTCATGTGTACATCATGACGACTAATATGCCAATGACCTGGGACAGTTCAAACCATCCTGTACAAATTCATAACCCAACCTCTTAGTAAAAGTACTACAGCCAAAGTAATAGTAACAGTACTACACAGTAAAAGTGTCATCAACCCTGACACTACACAAGCTATCATACCCAAACCTGCCACAGGTTAAGCAAGGGAACCATGTCAGCCAACAGTGCTTTGGATTTGGTGTGATGCAGCAAACTAAAGCAGACTGCCAGCACCTGGAAATTATACTGTCCCCTGTCCCCCCAGTATAAACAGATAGCAATGGATTATTGCATTAGGTACTGGGGAAATCTGGTGATCCAGTGAGCTTTCCTGGAATACAGTCCTTAAATACACACCCGTTATGGGTGTGTTAGCACCTCGCTAAGGCGAGGGTTCGTGACCCGCAACCTGTGCTCGGGAAGAATCAGAACAAGGAGGGTGCATGACCCCTTGCCGGTTCTCCGATACGATCGGTGCTGCTCAGGTACGTGAAGTCGATACAAACGAAACAGGCTGTGGCTATGACAAAAAGGATGTGCCCACGGTTTAACTTCACGTTAGGTGTCCACTGCCTGTGGGAGTTTGCACTGAAACACTAGCCTGGCTTTGATGAGGCTGGTCTACACCAGGAAGGCTGAGGCGTGAGAAAAGGCAGAGGGAAGTGTGGTTGTTCAGCTAGGAGAGGAGAAGACTCTGGAGGGGGTCAAATACCTGAAGGCGGGTTACACCATGGGTGGGCACGAACTGTTCCCTGTGGCCATGGGAGACAGGACAAGAAGTGCCAGTTTCCATTGCAACAAGGGGAATTCAGGTTGGAGAAGAATGTCCTCACCGCGAGGCCGGCCTGACACTGGAACAGGCTGCCCAGAGAGGCTGTGGGTTCTCCCTCCTTGGGAGTTTTAGGTTGGAGAGACATAGGGTTGAGCTGGTTCAGACAGGGGTGAAGCTGCCTTGAGCAGGGGCTGGACCAGATGTGACCTCCCCACGTTCCCTGCTCAGGACACCTTGGCAAAGCCTCTCAGTGTTATAGCCATATGGGGCCACCCAGCCTGATCGTCTCTGCCAGGCCATCCCTGGGAACGACGACCTGGTGACACCAGAGTCTGGCTGGGGGGAGGACCCAGAGCAAAGGGGTCAGACAGAGACCACCTTTTGGGGGTGGGGAGGGGTGCTCTCACTCATGTGCCACAAGGCCTGGGTGGAGGGAAGGCAGGAGGGGCCCCGTTGAACCTCCCAGGAGAGGAGAGCTGGGGATGGGCTCTGGGACCCCTTGGCTGGTGGTACAAGAGGACCTGGCCTGCTCTCAGGCTGGGACAGGAGCCAGTGCTTGTGGCTATGACCCTCTGCCCAGACCTGTGGCCCTTGCTTGCCTGCCTGAAGTAGGTGGACCAGGGCAGGAGGGGCAGGATTGTAGAGCCCCACAGTCAGGAAAGGGGGGACGGATGCTAGGTCTGCCTTGCGAGCTGCCAGAGCCCCAGAACCAGGGCAGGGAGTGTGCTCTGCCCAGGCTGCATCCATTTGGGCACATGGAGGACCCAGCCACAAGACCTGCATCACAGTGCCTGGCCACAGAGCCTGGGCATCATAGGAAGCCTCCAGGACCACTCAGCAAGGTGAGATCTCCTACACTGCCCTGCCGCCCCTGTTCCCCCTCCTCTCCTCCTGCCCAAACCAGGAGCCCAGCCTCTGCATGCAAGCCCAGAGCTCAGCTGGCCCAAGAGATCGGTCTGACTAGGTGCCCATTTTACAGATGGGGAAACCAATGCCCAGAGCAATGACGTGACCTGCCACCACAGACCGGTCTGGGAAGGGAAGGACAAGAGGGCTCAGCTGCTGAAAGCCCAGCTGGGCTGAAGCCCCCTCCCCCCAGCGGTCTGTGCAGGGGAGCAGTGCTTGGCAGAGACTGTCTACAAATGCCGGGTCTGTGCTGAAGCCCACCAGAAGGAAGGGATAGGTCCATCATCCCAGAGCACTTGGGAGCAGGATGGACGGGCAGAGAGAGACAGCAGCCTGCAGCCTCCAGGATCTCTGGCATGCTCTCCCTGGCTGTCAGGGGGTCCACTGAACATGCCTCACTAGCAACATCGCTTGGAAGACCCCTTAGACGTGGGCATGGATGTGGGCATTGCCAGGCACCTCCAAAGCACTCTGAACACATCAGGAACATGTGCTGCTGTAGCTGCTCTCACCTGCCTACCCCGGGGACACGGGGAATAGAACCCCCCCCATCCATGCAGCGAGTTGGGGCTTGTCTGGCTTCTAACCTGGGCTCAAACATAGCATTTCTGCCATGCATGTGAATTGGCTCCTAGCTCCTGGGACTTCAGCCTTGCCAAGGTGCTGATATTTTAAAAGATCCTCTGATGCCTTCTGCATATCACACCTATCTCCTGGCTCTTGTCTTCAGTCAGATTCTCTCCTCTCTCAAACACGTGATTTCCAGCTTCTGCCCGGTGCCTGAAAACCATGGGCAGTCACAAACCGCAGGCAGTAGGAAGCCATAGACAGGCAAGCCCGAGGCAGTGAATCACACTCTCTGTGTGCACCTCCCTCCTGGCATCCTAGCAGATAGAGATCTGTGGCTGAAGCAAAAGAAATCATATTCGAGTGCCGAGTGCCTGGGGAGGAAGGAAGCTGATGGCACAGATGGCACCGCTGGTGATACTTCACTGCACTTCAGGCAAGTTAAAAACAGGAAGAGGATGAGAGCTGCCCACGGGCATGCAAATCCCCTGGGCTTTGTGCTGTTCCCTTTGCAAACAAGTACATCACACAGGACAGCGCGCACGGCAAGAGTCAGCCCGTCTCCAACGGCCACCCCTGACACTTCAGTATCTCCCCCTCTGATACAGGAAGCACGTGCTTTTCACTCAAAATAAGCATCTGTGAAACTATCTGACAAAGGAGACTGTCACCTCCGGAAGCTCACACCTCTGTGAGCCAGTTAGTTTCTAAGGTGCTGCCTGACCCTGCCCTCTTTTCACTCAAGATGGATTAGTGCTGACTGGTAGTTTCTGGCATTGCTCCTGCCCTTCTGTTGCCCGTCTCCAGGCCTGCTTTGAGAGCACGGCACATGGTGAAGCACTGAAACAGGTCACCCAGAGAGGTGGTGGACTCTTCATCCTTGGAGGTTTTTAAGGCCCAGCTAGTTGGGGCTGGTCCTGCTTTGAGCAGGGGGTTGCACTAGATGTGACCTCCTGAGGTCCCTTCAACCCTCATTTTCTATGATCCTATGCAGCAGCATAACCTAGAGGGACCAGGAGCCCTGACTTTCACCAAGAGCCCAAGAGCCCTGAGAACACCCGTTATAACCGTGCAGGAGAAGCAGCTTTCTCAGCACACAACACACGTTTCCCTGGGATGTCTGTACTGTCCCAGCTCCACGTTTGCTGCTGGCATTACCAAACCAGATAAAGCTCTTAAATTAGACAGCAGCATAAAGCTCATTTCTATGCTCTGTGCTCCAGCAAAGCTTGTGGGAATGGCACCAAAGCAAAACCATTCCTGATGCTGCAGAGTCCCCCTGCCTCATGCAGCTTGCCCAGCCTGATCCTGACAGCAAAGGCCCCTAAAAGTTTCACGGTTTCCTGTATGAAAGTACATTTTTTGCAGGCTTGCCACCTTTCTGCCAACACCGTCCTACCCCTAGGGTGGAGACACTGGAAGGTGCCTCCTTTTGGCCCGGCTTATTGCCTTTCCCTA